TGCCATGGGCACACCTCGACGGTCGTCCTACTTGCTTAACCAACATGTCGTCAGACCGTCCATCTCGGTAGACCCACTGCCTCCCTTTGTGCCTGACTTGACAACTCTGGGCAATGATCAAAGCACTCGCCCGTCCATGGATATCGATCGTCCTTTGTCGGAGTTCATCGGGCCTTCTTCCAGCCGTCCTACTTTGTCAAGGTCAACGAAAAAGCACATTCGGCAAAAGTCAAGCAGGACAAATAGATCCCTCGACTCAGCCGTCGTCCACAGGCGCACTACCTCGTTTGGAAGTACCTTCAACCCGCGCTCAACAGTCAAGAGCTTCGACGCGACCACGTACACTGAAGGCTCCGTCGCTGACGAGGATGAGCCGAGCCCCGTACCTCAGCCGCTCCGGATTCTGAGAAGACGACCAGGTGGAAACCTGCGCGCATTCAACAACGGGGGCGACGGAGATGCCTTGCCCTTGCGTAAGTCACGGTCGGCAGGCTCCCTCACAACCTATTCAGAATCCATGCGAAGCTCCTATTTGCAGAGCCCCAAGCATGATTCTAGTGCGTTCGTTGACGTCGTGTCGAGCGAGTTCTCCCACCGAGGCGATGCCGATAATTTTTCCCTGGGCGCAATGGCTGAGCCATCGGCAAAAAGACAACTCTCGCTCTTCAGCACCCACTCGTCCAAGCCCATCATGCGTCCTTCATTTGAAGCTGAGGCGCAGAAGCTCGCCCAAATTCCCGACGATGAAGATGATGGTGGTGTAGAATCAGCATTGGCCAAGTTGGAAGGCAAGTATGAGAAGAAATCTTTCAAATTGTCCATGGAGCCCACAAATGCTCCTCTCCAAGGTGTCGATACTGCAACGGATCTTGAAGGTGAACCCGCTGAGGCGCAAAAGCAAGAAAAGAGAGGGCATCGTCACTTGCACGTTCTTCCTGTGGACGCCGCCGCCGTAGCCCAACAAGAAAAGGGGTCAGAGCCCCGCTCCAGCTTTCTCGACGTTCCCAACGGACCTCGAACCGATGCGAGTTCTTTCCTATCGGATAACTCGGCAGGCTCGTATTGCTCCATTCCTCTTCTTGAAAGAGGTTTGGCAGACGATGGCCAGAGTAAGGCATCCGCGCGGGAATGGACCAACATGTCTGTTCTTCAAGACCCCGAGGAAGAAATTTCACCAGCAGTGACTCCTCGCCCAATGTTCGAGGGATCATCTCACACATCTTCGTACGAGTTCATCCGGAAGACGGAAAGCCTGGAAAAGATCAAGTCGGGCTGTTCCCCGCCGAGCGAGCAGTCATTTTTAGACGACGACAGTGATGGAGAAGACTTTGGTTCTGACCTTTCGTCCGAGCTGTCAGCCGAGATTGTCGAGCCCGAAGAGTTTGCCATGAACCAAACACAACCTCTTCCGGACCGCAATGCTCACCGCAGTGCATCCATTCTGGAGTTCGATCCTCGACCCTTGAGAGAGTCGACCATGGGTCCTTCAGACAGTCGAGAACCTCCGTCGCCACCAATGACGCTTGTCCAAGCTCTCCAGATGTCACCTGAGGCCGTCCTGGTTCCCGAGCTTCACGAACATCAGGTGTACCAGCAAAAGCCCCTACCGCCGACTCCCGACACCACTCCGGGGGCGAACCAGCCCAACTCGCCACTTGACCCTACCGGCACCAGAGAAGCACTGCGCGGGCAGCCAAAGTACTCTGAACGCGAAAGAGAATCGTCCTTAAGATTCTCTGTTCACTTACCGTTCACGCTTGCGTTCGACTCGGAGATTCTAGCTCAACAGTTCACGCTGATCGAAAAGGATGCTCTCAATGAGATTGACTGGAGGGAACTCATCGACATGGGTTGGAAGAATGCTACCAACAACGACTCTCGGTCCTGGGTTGATTTCCTTCGCAACACGGATGCTCATGGCGTTGAGGTTGTCATTGCGCGCTTCAACATCATGGTGAAGTGGGCATGCAGCGAGATCGTGCTGACTCAAAATATTGAGGAAAGAGCACGATGCATCATCAAGTATATCCACATTGCTGCTCACTGCCGCCGATACCGCAACTTTGCGACCATGAGTCAGATCGCCATCGCCCTGACTTCGATGGAAATATCTCGGCTTACAAACACCTGGGCCATGGTACCACCTTACGATATGCAGACTTTGCGGGAGTTGGAAACTCTCATCTCCCCTACCCGCAACTTCTACAACTTGCGTGCCGAGATGGAAGTTGGCTCTGACACAGGCTGCATTCCATTCGTAGGCATCTACACCCACGACCTTCTCTTCAATGCTCAAAGACCCTCGGAGATTGCTAGCTCCCCAACCACTGCACCGCTGGTCAACTTTGAGAGGTGTAGGTACGCCGCGACCATTGTCAAGACACTGTTGAGGCTGCTCGAGGCCAGCACACTCTACGAATTCCAACCGGTTGAAGGTATCACCGAGAGGTGTCTCTGGATGAGTGCTCTAAGCGATGAAGAGATTCGCAAGCACTCTCATCGTCTGGAGTAAGCCAGCTATTGGCATCCTTCATGGCGCGTAATTACAAACAAATAAACCTCACGAACGCCAGTACGACCGCTTCGGGTTTGGACCCTCAGAAAACACCCCTGCATCATACGTGCGCCCTGCACGCGACCTTCGCTCACGCCCAAGTCTCCTTTCTCTCACATCATCATACGTGACGAACGCGTATCCCGACTACATCACTAATTCGATGCTCATTTTGGGCATCGTCATTTTTCACGTCGCCCTGCTTTGGTTTCAAAGCAGTGGCCATATACCCTGTACTGATACTTACAATATGATATCACCGGAACCTTATTTAAGGCTCAGCAACTGGAGGAGAGGGGGGAGGAAGAAAGAACAGGCCAGGGATGGCCGAGCATTGCACATAGATAGCGATGGTCTATACCCCTTACTTTGCGTCATTTAAGCGAGCGAGCGACCATATCAACTAGGACAAGGAGTTGAGGGGGAGGAACAAGGGGATCTTTTTAACCGGAAGGGAAAGGACATTCTGGGTGTCCTGGGCTCGAGATTTTCTCGGGCAACGTTCAATACCCCTTTTGCATGTTGGACTTCGGCTCAAGGAGGCGAGTCGATTAAACAAACATATTCAGATTCTTCGAAACCTTGTGCACCCATCTTTGACTCTGATATGATGTCTATGCATGCGTACGTGAGAACAGAAACTTCGGTGTGAAGTACCTTGAGCAACACCTTGCTGGCTTCGAAAGGGCTAAGCTAACCGACAAAACACTTCTAGAAACCTTACCCAACAGAAAGTGGGCCGGATCCGCGACTTGCTGCCGGTCATGTACCTCCGGTGATGAGGGAGGGCAGTAGGACGGCCACCCGCCACTATGCGCTTGTTTTAATCTTGACAACTGAAATCAGTTTTGAGAGAGATAGTGGCCGCTGCCCTTCTCGTGGCTCACTTGGTGTGTGTTTGCTGGTATCTGTCCCTCGATAATCCCAATCGGGCTTTTCAAGAAGTGGATAATCATTGAGCGAGCTCATCCATTTGATTTCGGTCCAAGTATATAGTGGATAGGTTTGACAGGGTATAATAGGGTATAGCGCATATTATAACTCCTAAGTCGTGTCTTCTTTCACGTCCTAGCGGATCGGCTGCGGTACCTTGGGTACCATTCCACCTTCTGAGTGCTCCAGAAGGGTGGTGTAGCAAAGTTTGGGCTGACGTCTTGACCGAGACGAATGTGAATCTTCTAATCCTAATTGGAAGATATTCAGGTAAGTTAGATTAGGGATTGAGAAGTGTAAAAGTTGAACAACACCGAGTAATACAGACGGTAGTCTTTGCCAAAGTTCTTAAATTCCATATCCAAGGTAAGAAAGCGAGAATCCGGTGCGAAACTCTTCTCCGTTCTCTGGCTTTCTGCATAGCAGATGAATCGGTCACTTATGTGAAAGTGATTTTTCAGATTTCCCAACTGACTCAAGGGTTTCACTGCTTGAATGGTATACATTGATGGATCAATGTGTAACGAAGTCCTCGCACTTCACCGGCTTTTTTTGAGCCGGCTGTTCAGTACCAGCCAAATTTGTGTTGCTCACCTTCTCTTTCTCACTGCTAGTTTGGACCCTTTCAGTAAAGAAGAGACAAAGGCAGGTAAATTACTGACAGCTAACCAGTGTCGCGTCATTCGGTAACTTTCTCTCCTCCTTTTTGTTTGAGATTGGCTTCTGTCAATGATCCCACTTTGCTGGTGGAGGAAAGATGAATAAAAGAGGTGAACGAAACCTTGATTATGCAGCGGCTGGATCGAGTATGATCAGAGGATCTGGTTGGACCAGGATCTCGCTTCTATGGCTGATTGACCGCAACATTGAAGAAGTTGGACGGCTATGGCAATCCATGCTTCGGACAGGTATGGCGGAGGACAACAGAAGCGGAAGGCACTCGGAAGACGACGATCCCTTAAATGAATAAATAAGGCATGTCACTGGGTTAGGAAGATAGGGGCGGCAAGGAGCAAGGCCAAGTCACGAAGACGCAAGGTGAATCAGGTTGAGGGACCAACGGGGTTGTGGTATTTCAAGTCCTCAAACATTTCATGATTTTTTCGACCAGAAGCTTTCAACGGAAAGCAAGCAAAAGAAGAGCGGGATAACGATTAAGTCCACCCCTTTTGGCCACACAGGGCTTTCCCTCTCCCCAAAACGACATCACAAACAATTGGTGGTTTGCCGACTATTTCACAATGTTTTTTGGTTCGAGTATCTTTCCCTCATTAGTGCAGACCAAGTTGACCCTTTCCTTTTTTTGCCCCCAAGATTGCTACCAGCGATCATAAAAGAAAAAAACTCCGCCAGAGTCTTTTATCTACCATTCCATGACCATTTGCTGTTCCGCCGTTTTGTGGATATCTTTCGCACACCGTGCTTCGATGACCGGTGCGTTTGTAGGTTGATGTGTTTGGGGGAATCCTCTCGTTTTGTGTGTCATGCCGACACATGAATGATGAAAGGGAGTTTACCAGGAAGACTCCTTGGGGGCAGCAGCGGCAGCGTCGCCAGCAGCGGCCCAGTCACCGGTGGGAGCGGCGCCAGCGGCAGCCCACTCGTCACCAGCACCGTCCCAGTTGGCACCAGCCTGAGCACCGGTGAAGCCGGGAGCCTGGGCGTCCCAGTCGCCGGTGGCGGGGAAGCCGGACTCAATGGCGGCAACGCCCTCCTCCTCAACGCCGGGGAGCTTCTCCTCCTCGACCTTCTCCTCGGCCTCAGCCTCGGGGTCGCGGTCTATTTGATGTGTTAGTTCTCACTTGTTCCACATCTCTCGTGCAGAGCATGCTTATAAGGGGGGATTCCACATACAGAAGTACAGATCGACCATGGTGTCCCAGGGGGTCTCGCGGTTGTAGATGGTGCCGCGGAGGCGGAGGACCTCACGAGCGAGCATCCACCAGACGAGACCGATGGAGTGACGACCCTTGTTGTTGGTGGGGATGGCAACGTCGACGTACTCGGTGGGGGAGTCGGTGTCGCAGAGGGCGATGACGGGGATGTTGACGTAGGAAGCCTCCTTGATGGCCTGGGCATCGGTACGGGGGTCGGTGACGATGATGAGGCGGGGCTCCTTGAAAGAGCGGGTGATGTAGTTGGTGAAGGAACCGGGGGTGAAGCGACCGGCAATGGCGACGGCGCCGGTGTGGGCGGCGAACTTGAGGACGGCACGCTGACCGTAGGGACGGGCAGAGATGACGCAAATGTCAGCTGGGTTGTCGACGGCGGCGATGATGCGGGCGGCGAGGACAATCTTCTCCCTGGAGGCGCAAAAAGTCAGCGATTTTTGCGCTGGCGCAAATTGAGCAGCGCAACAGAGGTTTCCTTGGTGATTTCTTGTTCTCGAAATTCCCCGAGAGGGAAACCTCTCCAACGCGTCGATTTCTTTGCTTACCAGGTCTTGCCAACGTTGATCACGTTGACACCGTCGGCACGGGTCTTCCACAGGTAGGGCTCCATGTGAACCTGGAGGTTCTTGCTTCCCAGGTGGGCTTGAGCTGCAAGCAGCATCTCAATGTCCTGGGAAGTGGCATTGAAGATCGAGGGGAGGTTAGCGGGAGCCATCTTGGGCGATTTCGGTCTTTCTTCCACGGGGAGACGGTGTCGAACGGTGGTGGTGCGGAAAGGGAAGAAAGTCAAGATTTCGCGATCCTCGAAAAAAGTTCGCCCAGTTGTGCGTCTCGAATTCGTGGGTGAGTGGGCAGCTCCTGCCTCTAGCAAAGCCCTCGCTAGGCCCTTGTGGTCCAAGCGTCTCCAAGTCCCGGCAGAGTACGTACCTGACGAGACTCCGGGATCACGTGATGCGTAGGAAAGCCGCTAGTACTCTCTAGGAGGCGCCTCCACTCCCAGGGGATGTGCAGCGGAGGACGAACGGGCCGGACGCCATTGGAGTGCTGCTCTCCAGATATGGGACCAGAGTCTAGGAAATTTTATGGTTCCCATTATCGATGATCGCGCGTTGAAGGGAAACTGCTGTCGCCATGCCTCCCAGATTACAGAGCCTGCAACGGCTAGGCACCGCTAGCTGTAAGCTTCAGGCTATTCTAGGGGATACAAGAAGCAATTAAAAAGCTAATTGACTGTGATAGTGTGCCTACGCCCAGCTATTAGACCGACCCCGAGCTTCCTCCCCGTCATCCAGACCGCAAATCTTTCCCAGCGCGAGAAGAAGCGCAAAGCGAAGCAGGACCCGTACAAACACCAACAGGCGCTACAACGCAAGGCTGCCAACCAGAAGAGACAGAGCGAGATCCAGGCGGAAAAGGATGCGAGCTGGGGCGACCCGATCCACGGCATTCCGACTCCTTTCGTGGAGTCGTTCGACTCGGCCGGCCAAGCGCCCACAACGAAGCCCGTCAAGGACGACAATGGAAACATCATCTCCGATCCTCGCCCTCTGCCAACTTCGCCGGGGCTTCTGAACCACCTCGTCGACGAGAAGGAGCTCCAAGCAGTGATAGACAAGGCCTACATTTTGACGAAACCTGTTAAGTCGGAAATCAGGGAGCTGGCAGACCCTGCTATGGAGGCATTGGCGGACCAGAAGCATGAGCTGGTTCACGCCAAGGCAGTAGAGGCTCTGAAGCGTATTCTGTCTATGGACAATGCCAACTCGAAGATCCTTCTCCACACCAACATCAAGAGATGTGTCGAGGAGTTTGGCCGACACAACACCGACAAGTTTCTGACGAAGAAGCCCAAGTCTGCTCTCGTGGATCCCAAGGCCCCCAAGCCGCCAATTCGGGGCGGCCCCGACACTGGCAGCTCGGAGGTGCAGGTTGCCATTCTGACCGCCAAGATCAGGAAGCTCTCGCACGAGCTGTCACAGAACCGTGGTTACAAGGACAAGCACAACAAGAGGAACTTGAGGGTCCTGTGCCACAGGCGGCAAAAGCTCCTCAAGTACATGGAGCGCAGTGAGAGGGGAAGCGGGCGGTGGACGCATCTGCTCGAGAAGCTGGGTCTGTCACCAGCGACCTACAAGGAGCAGATCAGCTTCTAGGGTGGGCTAGAAGCGGGAAAGGGTAGGCACGTGTAAAACTCAGACTTGTAATTGTCCTCTATGTACACTATAGCGATCGGTAAAGATGCTGATCTCCACGTCATGAACTTGACCTACCTCCTTGCGCCATTGTGACCTGCCATTAAACGATGAAACTGGTATTCTACAAACTAACAGAACAGGACTGCCAAACATTAAACTCAGAACACGCTGATGTAGTTGCCGATCCGGTCTTTCTGGTTCTGGGCTATGCACTCTGCAATCCAGGTGATGTTACGAATTTCCTGCTTGTCATTAGCTTCGCCCAGCTCACGTTCAGGGGTCTGGTGGTTATTACCTGCTCACGAAGTCTCACCCACGCGTACACAATAGCGAAAGTAAACTGCTGAGTGAATGCGCTCTTGGAGATCTCCATCTCCTTTTGGTAAAACATATCCTCCAGGCTCTTGCCGTCGGAGCTTGAGCCACCGCCCTGGTTACCCGGGCCAGACGGGCCGCCGCCGAGACCAGCTGCCTCGAAGAAGCTCTTGTAGTCGCTGACACCGTCAACCGCAAGACGGACGCCCTCAAAGTCTTCCGCTCTAGAGAGCATGAGGGTTCCCTCCGGGTACAGCTTACCAAAGCTGGGGTACAACTTCTTGCGGTCATTCTTGTTAAGCTCGGTGCCGAAGGAGTTAAGCGTGATATTGATCGCACGGCGGTCGGCCTCAAACTCCAGGATCTCTGACATGACCTCAGCTGTCGGCGAGCCTGCCATATCAGGATGAGTGTTGACAAAGTTGTGGAAGTCCTCCAAGTAGTTCTTGTACAGCGTGTTTCGGACAATCTCGATATTGAGCTCGTCGAGATCCTGGTGGCTAAGACTGCCCTTGAAGTAGGCGGCAAGCGGGGTCTCGATCAAAACACTGTTGTAAAGCTCCTCGATATTCGTCGCAACGCACAGGACTGGCATCGTCTCAAACCAGCCGAGGGGATGGCATCTCTCGAGAAGCTCGCGGGTGTCTCGTTCGTGAAGGGTGCCGGTGATCAACAGAGCAACGTTGTCGATCATGTAACCGTAGGTGAGGTAGTCCATGAACTGTGCAAGAGAGCCGACAGCATTGGCGCGGACATAGCGGAACTCGGAGACAAGTTTGTCGGTCGTCTTCGCGGCGAGAGCTGACGTCGAGGGGTTGGGAGGGAGGTTGCCGAGGAAGTCGCCGTACGCAGGGCCGAGTTGCAACTTGAGATCTGGGTCCGTATTAGATGTGCATCGCACAGGGGCATATAGAAACACTCACCATCGATGGTCTCGCACTGCGTCAGGTTGGCATAGTTGGAGCCGGTAAGAAGGCCGTTCCTGTATCCACGAACGATACCCTCAATGTAACTGCACCATGTTAGCTACAGCCCATGAGCCCTATCATCCATCATAAACCCAATACTCACCCACTGTTGACGTTGAAGAATAGGCCCTCCATCTTGGCTGTGTTGTGGATTGTTTGGTTCGAAGGCGATTGGAGGTGGTGACGCCGGTCTGGTGGAGGCGCAAACGGAGACAGCTGTGGTCGTTGACTTTAGAACGCTCGCTCTCACTCACTGCCAAACCGAATTACTGCACGGCAGCTGCAAGGTCCCAGCAAGGCCGACCAAGTCCACCTTCCCTTACCTAAGGCATTACGAGTTGTAGCAGCGCACAGGCCACCGGAGGCGGCTTTTCTCGGCGAAACAGATTTTACGCGCTCCGGGCCATCCCACTTGCCAATTGGTGTGTGGGGTGGGACCCGCCCAAAGGCTCTGCAGCCATCGAAAAAAAATTGGTGGAGCTTGGTTTGGTTCAGAAAAAAATATTTCCAAACCATCAATCCGCTCGCTGGAAACCTGCCTCCGCCGACAATAACATTTACACCCACGTGCGGAGGATTTCACCAGAGGGACCAACTTGGCCAGATTTGAAGAGCATCGACGGTTCTCACAATGTCTCTCTTCGTTCTCGCCGAAACGCCGGCAGGGTAAGTTTCTATTTGGAAAAGAACCAGAAGGGAAAAGATAGTGGCAGCAATTGAAAAGCTAACACGAGAAATAGCTACGGTCTGTTCAAGGCTGCCGACAAGAAGCTTCTCAAGCGCGATGAGCTCACCACTGGACCGACCTCTTCGGAGCAGATCAACGAGATGTAAGTCGCGCTCCCACAATCGACAATTGCAGCCAGTCTTCAAGAGTGTCACGCAGCAGCGCACACGCGTGCAAGCAAACCTGGTTTCTCGGCTTTGATTAGATCGCTGCGTTTGAGTACAATCGAGGCTGACTATTGCAAAGGCTCAAGTTGAAGTCATTCGTCAAGTTCGATAGCTCCGCCGTCGCCGTCGAGGAAGCCGCCGGTCTCAAGGAGGGTCGTGTCCCGCCAATGCTCGCCAACCTGCTCAAGGAGATCAAGGACGAGAAGAAGGCCACCCTTGCCGTCGCCGACCTGAAGCTCGGTACTGCCATTGGCAAGCTTCCCGACTTGGATATCAAGGCCGTCTCCGATGCTGCCTCCCAGGACCTGTTCCGCGCTGTTCGCGAGAACCTTTCTTCCCTCATTCCCGGTCTCAGCACCGAGACTATGGACCGCATGGCCCTTGGTCTGTCGCACTCCATTTCGCGACACAAGCTTAAGTTTTCCGCCGACAAGGTCGACGCCATGGTTGTCCAGGCTATCAAATTGGTCGACGATCTCGACAAGGAGCTGAACGTCTACGCCATGCGCACTAAGGAATGGTACGGCTGGCACTTCCCCGAGCTTGCCAAGATCCTCAACGACAACCTGGTCTACGCCCGTCTTGTTGTTGCCGTTGGCATGCGCCAGGACTTCGCCGAGACCGATCTCTCCGATATCCTTCCCGAGGAGCTTGAGGGCCCTGTCAAGACTGCTGCCGAGATTTCCATGGGAACTGAGATGACCCCTGAAGATTTGGAGAACATCCAACTGTTGGCCCAGCAGGTCATCACCTACTCCGAGTACCGCACTTCCCTCTCCACCTACCTCGAGACCCGCATGCGCGCTCTGGCCCCCAACTTGACTGCTCTCGTTGGCTACCTCGTTGGTGCCCGCTTGATCGCCCACGCTGGCTCCCTCATTGCCCTTGCCAAGGCCCCCTCCTCCACCATCCAGATCTACGGTGCTGAGAAGGCGCTTTTCCGTGCTCTCAAGACCAAGCACGACACTCCCAAGTACGGTATCATCTACCATTCCTCCCTCGTTGGCCAGGCCACTGGCAAGAACAAGGGCAAGATCGCCCGTTCCCTCGCCGCCAAGACTGCCCTTGGTCTGCGTGTTGACGCTCTCGGCGACACCGAGAACCAGGACGATGAGGAGGAGCGCAGCATCCTCGGCCTTACCAGCCGCATCAAGCTTGAGAACCTCCTCCGCAAGCTGGAGGGCAAGCCTCTCCTCCCCAAGGGTGTTGGTGTTGGCCCTGACGGCCAGCTCACCGCTCCCGGTGGCTTCAGCCTGAAGGAGTCCCGCAAGTACAACGCCGATGCCGACGGTGTCGAGACCGAGGTCAACGGCAAGTCCAAGAAGCTCATCCAGGTCGTCGATGAGGAGATGAAGGACGCCGAGAGCGAAGACGAGGACGCCGAGATGAACGACGCTAGCGAAGAAGAGAAGAAGAGCAAAAAGGACAAGAAGAAGGAAAAGAAGGAGAAGAAGCGCGTCTCCATCGCCGCGGTCGAGACCCCCGTCAAGCAGAGCAAGGCTGTCAAGGGCACACCGGCGAAGCTGAGCGAAAAGGACTACGAGCGTTTCGCTGAGGCTGCTGGCATCAGCGTGTCCAAGTTCAAGCGCAAGTTCGAGCGTGGTGACGTTCAGCTCGGCGAGGACGGCACGCCCGTCGTCTTCAGCAAGAAGGAGTTGAAGAAGCTCAAGAAGGCCGAGGACGAGGCCGAAGAGACGCCCGTCAAGGCTACCGACAGCACCAAGAAGAAGCGCAAGCACGAAGATGATGAGACGCCCAAGAAGGAGAAGAAGTTGAAGAAGAAGCGCAGCTCCCTTGCTTAGGAAGCTAAGCGGCGTCGCATTTCTTATTCATAGACGGCACTTGGGCCTCATGTGCATAAACATATTGTGTTCAATGCGCTGTATGATACCTCGATCTCTCTGGCCGGCGTTTTGGGATGGACCTGGGGGGTTTTCATGGTCTGATCATTGGATGGGCATAGTTTCTCTTTTACTACTGGCAGGAAAAGTGCAATGTAATTGCTTGTTGAGTTTGACTACTGCTCCCTCGCTGTCGAATGTGATCTGCCATCCATCCAATACTTCAACTACCTATACTTTGCTTTCTACGTGGCGATATTTCTGAAATGATAAGTGACGATGAAGAAATCTAGCGTAGGCGGCAAGCACAACTCACTCGTGGTCAAGCAGGTCACCTTCCACGGTAAAGCACGTATGCGATTCAATTCAACTAAAGTACATACGCGGTCCCGTCCAATCCAACTCACACTCAAAGGGGAATGCAGCGCTTGGTCCTGTCGCCTCTGCTGCAGATGGGTGGCTTTCTGACGTTGCAGCACTGTTTAAACTCAGCATCAGTTCGAGCGATAGGAAGATGCATACTTACACGGTAGCCAGAGGGACCAGGGCAGTCGCCACTGCATTGTGAAAAATTAGCTATACATTTTGATATTGGTTAGATGAAGAGGAAAATTATGAATCTTACGTAGAGTATGTGCCGCTGCAGGAAAGAGTATCCTTCTGGCAGTATCCATTGCTGTTGCAGTCCGGGTAGAAGCAACACTTCACATCGGCCGGGTCATTGGGGCAGAGGTTGGTCTTGGTGTAGCCATTGAGAGAGCTGCACTTGGAGGTCTTCTGGCAGGTTCCGTAGTTTCCCTATACATACAGAATAGGCGTTAGTGGATGCCGTCGACGTGTTCTTGAGGATGAAATAGACCTTGCTGTCATGACAGTAGCTTCCGATGGCTGCCAGAGCACTGGAAGCGAATAAAGCTGAGATGAGGGCCGAAGTCTTCATATTTGCTGTTATTCAGGGCTCGAGATGTAAAAACGATGAGAAGATGAGATTGAACTTGTGCTGCTTGCTTCGGATTCTACATATACCTCCTGACAGGATGCTTCTGGCCTTTTATACCCCAGAGTCAAGACTGGCAACTCGATGTGAGATAGTATAATTAGCCACTGCGATATCTGAACTTCTTGTCTGCGAGGACTAATCGGGGTCTTGAACGCAAGCCTCGGACGTGAAAGTTCCCTTAGCTTACTAGGAACACCGCGTTAGACGATCCCCTCCTCACCGGTCGTCTTTTGGAACATGCGCCTTGCCACTGCAGCATTCATGATCATATGGCTACATCGCAGAAGTCTGGGCCAGTGCAGACTTCCATCTATGTTTCTCAAGTGAGACGACAACCTCACCATTGGTTGGTGTAGTCCGTAGCTAGTCAATTGGACGACAAATCCGAGAGGGACGAGAATAGCTGACTAGGTCGTTCCACGGGCGCTTACATAGGACAACATGATGAAGACACACTGAGGCTTTTCGATGCATTAGTCTCTTCAATACTTTAGTTCCAATGTGGAAGGAGGGTTTACTGCTCGAGGAGGTTGTTAAGTAGATTGCTTACACGGAGTCGGGGTAACGTTGAGTCTAGGCCATGCAAAAAGCAAACGAGGTGTTCAGCTGAAATGCAAGATCCAGGACCGAGACAACCACAACCAATCGCTTGGGACTTTCCCATAAAAGAACTACATTTCTGACTTGGAACCCCTCACGAAACTACTTAGACAGTTGTCTTTGGCAAGTATGTTGTAATCAGGGATAGAGTCGCCAGATAGCTCTAGGTTTCTGACCACCAACAAACAAACATATTCTGCATGTGTTTCAAGCCACAATGGAACCTTGAGAGAAAAAATACTCTCAGAGAAATCACGGATCATTTTCCATGTCCATGTATACTATTTCTGTCGAGCCAATCGCCAATCAACCGTTTGTGAAGATGGTGATCCGGTGAGCCGGTGAAGGAAGTTACACCGACAAGCGAACACGTGACAGATCTCGGTGGATCCACGTGATTCTCGACCGTGAACGCAGCAGCAGCATCATCACCACGCATGCTCACTCACGAAAGCGCTGTGGCCGCCAATCTCATACATCAATGTTGCTCCTGAGCTGGTGAATGGAAATGGACGATCGACAGCGGGGCAACATCCATGGCGACCGTCCACGGCCTGACCTGCGAAGCCCCGAGCAGCTCACCCAGAACGGGTTCGACCTCGATGCTGAACATGGAAGCCAGTGGTCGGGCGATTATTACGACCGCCGAGCGACACGAGCTCTTGGTCCCAATGGTAGGTTGCTCTTTTCATCCTCTCATAGATGCCCGACTCCTAATTTCAGGTGGTCATCTCCCTGAACATCGCCCGCTGCTTTTCGCCCTTCTGGCTGCTGTCCATCGTACAATACCACCAGCGCGTCAATGCACTCAAAGCCGAAGCGAGGGGCATCGCTCTTGTAATATTTGACCACTCAGCCCTGCAAGTTAAGAGGTGATGGTCATTTGTTTGATGTCGCCTCGAGTTGCGGGCGTCCGACAGGGGGGTCGGTCTCTACGTGGAGGGGCATCATTTCGACTACTGTTCGATGGGAATCCATAGCTCTTCATTGCAGCTTTTTGCACAAACCTTGTCTAGCTTTCAGTTTTCTCCTTGATTTGCACTTCTTGCACAAAGATATTGATGAAATACGGGAAAAATTAGTCTTCTATGTCTTTCGAAGTCGATTAGACGCCCAGTGCGGGAGATTGGACCAGGGGGTCGCATGACACCCGCCTGGTCCATGTTCTGGCCCCGGCCATCAACATCGGACGGTTGACAAGTAGCAAACCAGCCATAGACCTCGACCGTTTCACTTCTAGCTTGACATCACAACACTGCTGACTCATGCGCCCCTTAGGCGGCTCACGTCGAGACGAAGACGATTCTGATGACGGCGAGGCATTCCCACCGCAACGCGTCGACTGGGAGGCCATGAGAGCTGGCGCCAACATGGAGGAGTATCTACGAAGCCAGCCCATCCCGGAGTATTCCGACGAGGAGGGCATCAGCATGCCACTCGATGACCTTGGCGAGATCTCTGGCACCGACACTAGTGTTGAAGATGGAGAAAACGGCGACCAAGTCGGGGACCAACAAGATGAGCCCGAGTTCGACCCCCTCGCTGTCGGTCTGAAGGAGATTTCAAATCTGGGGAAATTCACCGTCAGCAGCCACAAGCAGGGGAACGGCGTCGACCAGCTTCGTGACGACAGCTTGAAAACCTATTGGCAGTGCGTTTATCCGACGACCCATTCCGAGAACAAATGCACACCTTTGCTGACGATAAGACAGATCCGATGGTCCTCAGCCGCACAAGCTTACAGTCTACTTCATCAAGCGAGTCGGCATCAGGGACATTCGCTTCTACGTAGACTACAATGAAGATGAATCTTACACACCAACCAAGATCATCTTCAAGTCCGGTACCAGCGAGAACAATCTCATTCAATTTGCCACAATGGAGCTCTCGACACCCTCTGGCTGGCAGATCGTTCCAGTCGACGGCGCTGGCGGCGGCCCCGACGGTAACACGCTGGTTTCCTACGTGTTCCAAATGCAGATACTTGAGAATCATCAGAACGGCAAGGATACGCACCTTCGTTCTATCAAGATCTACGCTGCGGATACGGACACCCCTAGCATCGACGCGGACATATCAAACCGCGTAAGTTGATCTCCTTGAACATGCGACAAGTATGTGACTGACAACATCTAAAGCGAGCTGTGAGTGAGGAGCCAGACGAGGAACCTGCAGACCCCTGGGATCTCTCCGTTCTCGAAGCTGGCCTATCTGTTCCGGATTTCATGAAGGAACCAGAGATTCGATGAGCCAGCGGAACTTGCTTCTTAACCCACGACTTCGACACTCGAGTGAGCCACAGCCTCGGCCACTTTAGCTGGACATGTCACTCAAAGGGCGAGGGCGTTCGCGTGTTATGGACTGCATATGACACTGCAACTATTGTTTTTGCTGTAATGATACCCAAAAGTCGGATGCGGAGAAGGCTCTCACAGAGCTAGGAGTTTGGTGGCACGTTACGCCCAACAAAAGGGCCGTTCTGGTAGACTTCCCAGCATTTACGCGGCCATGAAAGGACGGCATACTGTATTGACAACCCTACTGAGGTGCCACCGCATATTTAGCAACAGCTTCACACCATCCCGTGTCTTCTTGGCAGCTATGGCTGCCTGTCATGCGTCTAGCTAGCGCGAGCGGCTGAGGTCTGGCCCTCAGTTGATTGGTAACTTCCATCGTGACCCCTGCTGGACCGGACGAATTGTATCCGACTCTGATAATGAGGCTTTCGAAACGAAAATCCGCACGTGATGACACTTGACATGGTTCGAAAGATATCTACAACTTGGCTAACAATGTGGCAGGATATTGCGAGCTGATGCTCAAATCCAAGACCCAGAGGCATCATCCGTTCCTAAAGAGAAGAGCACAATGGAACGGAACAGCACGTATCGATATCAATCTCTGCCACCGATTGCGGAAGAGGGTCGCACACCGTCCTTCACCCGACTCCTCTTCCTGTACCCAGGCTCGGGAGAGGACCCCTTTGGAGCGCATCTAGAAATTGTCGACATCGAGCATGCGCCTCCCTACGAAGCTTTGTCTTACACGTGGGGAAAACCGACGGAACAGCCGAGAGACTACATCTGGATGCAAGGCTGTCCTATGCCTATCAGGCCAAATCTAGAAGATGCTCTGCGCTCTCTACGCTTGCCGAACCAGGTGCGAAGGCTGTGGGTCGATGCGCTCTGCATCGATCAGTCTGACCTGGACGAGCGTGCTCGGCAGGTCCAGTACATGAGGCTGGTCTACAAACACGCTGCCCGCGTTATCGTATGGCTCGGTCTCAAGACTTCCGGGACACATGAAGCGTTCCAGGCCGCGGAACGGCTCGCAAGAATCAGAGAACTTACTCATCCAGCGGCTACTGGACCTAACGGTGGGCAAATCGACCCCGGCACAGTCCAGGGCCTGATGAGCAGCATGCTCGAAGACCTACCGGAGACATGCATGATCCACCTGGACGAAGTCTTTGAACGCCAGTACTTCAGCCGTTGCTGGTGTGTGCAGGAGGTGGTGGCATCTTCAAGGGCGATTGCCAAGATTGAGGACCTGGAAATGTCGTTTTTCGACTTGATCGCCTCATTGATTGTGCTCGCGGGTTGGAAAAGCGAGATCCTCATCGACCGACCCTACCAGTTATGGAATTTGATCCTCATGCGACGGCAACCCAACAGTTTTCTCGGCCAGCCCGAGGTCGAGGGCTCGATTGGCTCGTTTCTTGCACTTCTGGAGCTGACGCGAACATTGCAAGCGACGGATGACCGAGACAAGGTGTTTTCCCTCCTCGGTATCTGCGACGAGGGGCTGAACCCTGTGCTGGCGTTGACGCAGGTCTTTGACAACAATGACAGTTGGCGCATTCGGTTAATTCGTCGAGGCTTGACACGGGTCAATCATTTCGTCAATGGTCTTGCTCCGGATCTCAACTTTGGTCGGCCGAGAGCTTTGCGACCAGATTACAAAAGGGAGACCGTGCTGGTGTACTGCGATCTTACGAGGTTCCTCTTGCGCAAACAGCCTCGGATTCTAGACGTCCTTGACCACGTACAACATAACGAGGACCCAGGCATCGGTGACTATCCGTCCTGGGTTCCAAAGTGGTTTGACCCAAGGACATGTTCCGTCTTCAAGGGAGCCTATCTCGCTGGCTTTTGCGATGGGCATTTCCGTTATTTTGCCGAGCTTCACGATATTCCGGTCCGCAACGATCCCGTGCGGCCAAAGGTTCTGTCTATAGATGGGTATCATGTTGATGTGGTATCGAAAACGACCGAAACACTTGCGTTTGGATTTGGGGCTCGTGCTACTGCGGAAGCTATTGTGAGAGCTTGGGAGCAGCTTTTCGACATACCGATCGCCCCCAGATGCGGAAGAAAGTATCGCGATAACATTCTACTGGATGTGGTATTCTGTAAAGCCATCTTGGCTGGTGCTCTGGGTTCCATCATTGGCTATAGTCACCTCCTTACTAGGAATCAGGGAGGATTGAACCCTCTCTTCGACGATCGTACCCATAAACCTCACGCTGAGCTCGACCGAGAGGCTCAAGACTTGGCGGAGACATTCCTTACCCAGATGGCTGAGTTCGGTCTCCCGCCAACGGCGACGGAATTCGGGAACCCGGATCGAGAGGACAAGCTGCAGGTCTTTGGAGCAGGGGCGCGTACCTACTCGAATAACCGAAAGGTATTTGCGACCCGTGATGGCCGTGTGGGCATCGGGCCCAAGATGATGCAGCCTGGGGACGAGGTCGTCGTTCTTTTTGGGGGCCGGATGCCCTTCATTGCACGACAGAGGGGTGATCACCGACTGCTAGTTGGGAGCTGCTACTTGGTTGACGAAGAGCTGATGTGGGGGAAGGTGACCGAGAAAGTGAGATTTAATCGTGGCGGTCCTCCGCGGGTGACATTTGAGTTCCATTAAGTCGCGGTCGCGAGAATTTAAGACTCTTCATGAAATCCCACCTCAACGGCCACTTACTTCAGCCCGCGCATTGCTGCCCCCGACTTAACCAATCAAGCAACATTTCTTTCCTGCACACTGCGAAATTTGCTGTCGGATGACTTTCCGAATGCAAGCCTCCACATCATCTGATAGTAAAGATTGTCACCAAAAGCTCGAGGTCAGCATAACAGTTACGAAGCACCCGAAAATGAAGATTCTCCTGATCGGAAAAGGCGGTCGCGAACATGCCCTTGCATGGAAACTCACTCGATCGCAATCAGTAGAGCATGTCTACGTTTTGCCGGGCAATGTTGGCACCGGAACCTTGACGAAAGCCTCGAATTGCCGCGAAATAGCCCTTGACGACTATGGTGGCCTCGTGAAGCTGTCAAAGAGGCTTGAAATCGACCTTGTCATCATCGGCCCAGACGACGCTGTTGTTGGGGGCATGGGAGATCACTTTCGGAGCAGTAAGCCATTTGGATCATATCATGTAAGGAAGCATTTTCTAACACAATATAGATGGAATCCGTTGCTTTGCCCCAAGTAAGAGAGCGGCCATCATCGAAGGCTCCAAGGACTTTGCAAAGGACTTCATGTGCAGACGCAAGATTCCGACCGCATGCTACGAAACCTTTGACAAGGCTGACTGCGACAAGGCCAAGGCGTATGTACGAAGGTTGGGCCGTAGAGTGGTCATCAAGGTGGACGGCCTTGCAGCAGGAAAGGGTGTCATCCTTCCCGAGACGACCGTAGAGGCGGAGCAAGCCCTCGAGGACATCATGCTCAAGGACAAGTTCGGTGGTGCTAGCGAGATGGTGATTATTGAGGAGTACCTCGAGGGTTACGAAATTAGCGTCCTCACCTTCACTGATGGAACATCGATTCTCTCTCTGCCGCCGGGCCAAGACCACAAGCGCGCTCTTGACGGCGATGAGGGACTGAATACCGGCGGTATGGGCGTGTATTCGCCTGTTCCCTCCGTGACTGAGGAGCAGATGGCCGACATTGAAGAAAAGATCATCTTGCCGACTATTGTTGGCCTTGAGTTAGAAAGTAAGTCGGGAACAAAGTAGTGCTAACACACATGAGGCTAACCTAGAGACATAGGGAGACCTTTCAACGGCATGCTCTTCACGGGGGTAATGATGACGTCCACAGGCCCCAAAGTGCTTGAGTACAACGCGCGTTTCGGCGACCCAGAGACGCAGAGCATGGTACTTGTCCTGCCAGACGAGGCTTTGCCAGAAATCATTCTCGCTTGTGTAGAGGACAGGCTGGGTGACATCGAGCTGAAAACACTTGCAGGTTTTGCCTGCAATATTACTGTTGCGGCTAAGGGCTATCCAGAATCATACAGGGAAGGGGATCTTATCCGAATAGAACCTACCTCTGAAGGTGAGTCTGCACTAGTAGGATTGTGCCATGGCCTATCGCTGACCACATCCATACTTAGGTGTACATGTCTTCCACGCCGGAACTGATCAGGTCGACGATAAATTATTCACGGCAGGCGGTCGTGTCCTGTCCGTTGCCGCGACGGGTGAAACCCTTGAGGAAGCAGTATCGGCTGCTTACAAGGGGGTTGAAAGTGTTCATTTTGAGGGCATGTTCTACCGCAAGGATGTTGCGATGCGGTAAGTCAGGCCGAGAGCCGTCTACATTCCCCTCAGACTCCAATTACGGGATAGTTTGGCTGATACGATTAAGCTCGCTGAAGCTCGCTCCGGGAAGGGCCGAGGATGGTCCTCACTAGCTCGAGGGGTAGCCAAGATCGGAGCTTGGACCGTTGCCGTTAAGGTTTCTGAGGTGATAGGTCAACAAGTTGGGATGACCTTTTGGCATGGCTGAAGGCAGATAACCAACCATCCAACCTGAAATCGCCTAGCTCAAGCGTCGGGACATTTTGCGAGGGCGGGGTGGTCTGGAAGGGCCGAAAACTCCATGTTCTAGGCCCAGCTGATATGACAAACGTATGGGGGGTTCTCTGGAAGCTTTCGGCCGTGAAACATTGCAGCCACTGACGCATCGGGAGGACCGTGATGGCGGGATGCAGGAGATGCAGGAGATGCAGGCAACCGATGGACCCGAGTCTAGACCGTTGTGGTGTGATGTCACACATCAGCGAGCCTTTATATAGGAATTAGGAGCTCCCCCGGACTCCCCGGAGCTATAAGTCCGGAGATAGTCAGTTTTGGCCGATGTAAACTCGTTCTTGGTGTGCTAAAACTCTCTCTCTCCCCATCAACAGCAATCATGAACGTCTTTATCGTTCCGGCATCTCCCAAGACTGGGCAGGCGACCATTCGGTCTCTCCTTGACCACCCTTCGCAGCCACACGTAACGGGTGTATATCGAGACCTGGGAAGGGTACCGGCTAAATTTAAGGACCATCCTCGATTTAAGGCTATCAAGGGCGACGTTGCCGATGTTTCGAGTCTCAGATTCGCCGGGGCTGACGCCATCGTATCCATCACGCCTCCGCAGTACTCCGAGTCCAAGCCGATAACTAGAGCACGGGAGATGGCAGCAAATGTCAAGTTTGCTATCAGTAGGGTCGGGTGTTCGGTAAAGCGTCTGGTATATGTGTCTAGGATAGGGGCTCATTTGGAGCATGGGACGGTAAGTTGAAAGAGAGGATATTCGCAGAAGGCAAATGGCTGAAGTAGATGTCGTAGGGCGAGATAAGAACGAACTACGAGGCAGAGCAAGCACTCATCGGTGCCGCACCCGAGGTGGTCTTTGTTCGATGCGCCTACTTCATGGAAAATTGGGCGTCAGTACTTAAGACAGCAAGTGATGATACACCGCATTTTTCTTCTGTGCTGTGTCCCATAGACTACGCAATACCCATGGTAAGTTTTACCAGGCAGTTCGCCCTAAATGAGAAAGACACTTTCCTAAGATTTACAACCAAGGTCTCGGTGAAAGACGTTGGTCGGACATGCGCCAGGGAAGCTCTCGCAATAAGCTCGCCGATGCGACATAATCCCTATATCTTCAACTTATACGGGCCAGAATCATATTCAACAAAGGACGTGCATAGAGCGGTTGAAGATCTAACATTTAAGTATAACAAGGTCAAGGTCACTCTGGTGGAAGATGAGCAGCTAGAGGACTTTTTTGCTCAATCATATCGGCCACCGACGGCTGAACTCTTCGTAGAGATGACAAGGAGTCTCTTGCCCGGAGGGATTGTAGCCGGGAATATGCGAGAGGGACATTTGCTTCAAAGGGGGAGCGAGACTCTGCGCGAGGTGATTGAAGACATCCTTAAGGTATGAAAATGCGCAGGACACTGGCGACTCAAATACCCAAGTGATGAAAAATTTTCGCCGCCAGCAAGAGGAGAGGAAAGGACAAGAAACGAAAGAGAAGGATCAAGATCAGCTGCGCAAGAGAAGAGAGGTACTGACCGCGTTCAAGGGGACTAGAGCTCCAAACCGGCAGAAAAGGTCATCGATCAAGACCCGCCTTGCTAGCTCAATCGGTAGAGCGTGAGACTCTTAATCTCAAGGTTGCGGGTTCGACCCCCGCGTGAGGCTCAAATCCTCACCGCGATTGGCTAAGCCACTCTTCGGGTTCTATATCTTTTGCTTTTTGCACCGCTGAAGTTCTAAACCACCCCATCAACGGTGATGCTTGGAATCAAGTAGCAAGCCACAACCTTATCTTCACACCCACCACTAGGGGTCTGAGGTGCTTCCTTGGATGCAATTTAGAGTACACTGTCATACCGCCACCATCATTCGCCTGTCTTCTCTAAGCTGCAGTGAAGCCGAAGCCGAAGCCGATGTAGGTCAAGTCAAGCCGAAGGCCCCCTCAACGAACAAGCATAAAACATGCGAGTGCCCAAGACCCCCCAAACGATTTTGTATTGCTCGATCAGGAAGAACAAGCATATGGTGTACTCGCTTCCAATGACTAGGATGTCTCGCCCCGTGGTGAGAAGCCGTTGGAGTCAAGGAATCTCATACCCTGTTTCCGTCGTCTTCGGCTCAACCCACAAACCATCCAGGGCATGGTCGCTTCGAGGGGGGCCTTGAGTGTCCTCCAACTGAATTCGAGATCCCGGCGTTGTTGATTGGCCTGATGCTCAAGGTCATAGAGAAGCTCACGCAACATGGACAACTACCTACTTGTGACCGTTTCCCGCTTGACCCACCATGTGGTACTCTCGTTTAGCGACTTCGCAAGCCGACGCTTGTCTGACGGGATGCGACAAAGATGTTCGGCTTGAGAATGCCAACCTGGACGGCTGGGACTGCTCAATTAGCTTTAAGAGCGGCCCAGCGCTCTCTCGAATTCGATCTTTGGCAGATCTTATGGAACAATCTGCCCATACCAATTTTACCATTCCCTCTGGCGATCCGAGATGTTGAGGACTGCAACTCAAAGTACGCCTTCCGGAAAAGTCTCACAGATCGTGATGGCGTATGATGAAGAGAAAACTCAATTTCCGTCGTCGCCGACAAGCGACGACGAGACAGCACGACTCGACGAGGAAGAGCTAATTATGGACCAAGGACTTGTCGCATGGCTTCAAGTTCTTGGAAGCTGGATTTTGTTTGCCAATACCTGGTACGATGACCCCGTAGCAGCTGATGCCGGTCCAGACAAAAACCGCAGTACTCAAGTTGACGTTATTCAAGGGGTTTGACAAACTCATTCGGAGTCTTTCAAGCCTACTACTCCAACGTCCTCTTACCAGACGTCAACCCTTCGGCTATTTCTTGGATCGGCTCCATCCAGATCTTTCTTATGATGCTCATCGGTGTCTGCGCGGGTTGGCTTCTCGACGCGGGGTATCTTCGCTTCATCCTCATTTGCGGCACTACCATGACGTCTCTCGGGCTATTTATGCTGAGCTTGTGCACAAAGTATTGGCAGATTCTCCTCGCGCAGGCGCTCTGTGTCGGAATGGGTAGTGGGTTGCTGGGGCTGACTTGTGTGGCCGTGATTCCTCTCTACTTCCGCAAGAGGAGGATGATAGCGACTGGCATTGCTGCTACGGGAAGCAGTCTAGGTGAGCTCCGAAAAGACGCCGAGATGACAATGTACGCAAGCACGGGTACTAATGTATTGTCAAGCGGGAATTGTGTATCCCATCATGGAGAGACGCCTTATTGCATCCATTGGCTTTCCTTGGGCTGTTCGGGTATTCGCATTCATCGTTACCGGAAGCCTCCTGATTTGCATTGCAATCATGCGTCTTCGACCCAATCTCAAGCGGCGCGGTGCTCTCTTTCGCCTGAAGCACTTTCGCGATGTTCCCTATGTCTCATTTTGCATCGGTCAGTCTCGTTTCCAAAAGGTCTTCGACTCACTACGGTAATTAACACACAATCAGCCTTCGCCCTGATGATTGGCTCGGTTTACATCCCCTTCTTCTACGTGGATGCCTATGCCATTCGTCTGGGCGTCGATCAAGACACGTCCTTTTACATCCTCAGCGCCATGAACGCTGCAAGTCTCCTCGGTCGTCTAGCCCCCAACTGGCTTGCTGACAAGTACGGCGGTATGACCGTTATGCTCCCTTGCTGTCTTTGCTCGGCCACCGTTCTCTTTCTCTTCCGCTTTGCGACCGACCTGCCGGGTTTGGTCGTAATATCAATCGTGTACGGCTTCGTCTCGGGCGGCATGGTATCTTTACCTCCGGCTACTATTGCAAATTTGACGGATAATTTGTCAGAGTATGGGACGAGAATGGGCATGGGATACACCATCGCCAGCTTTGGCGCGTTGATCGGGAACCCTATTGGAGGTGCCGCGCAGCGTCCGCAAGGAAACACAGCGACAGATGTGCAGAGAGAGTTTCAGGGTACTTGGACTTTTGCGGGGGGGTTCATGCTCGCAGCTTTCAGTTCGATGGTGATATCAAAGTACGTCAGAGTTGGATCGGTCTTGCGCGGTAAATGCTAGCCTTCAGAATTTTGCTGTGGTCTCCTCTCTGTAGGCTTTGGCCCAGTACCATAGGACCATCCCAATCTAGTTAAGACAAAGAGTAGAACGTAACCTCTGCAATCATCGTCCTGGCTGGGATCGTAACGGAGATCGGAAAGCCGCCGTAATCTGGGTCCTCGTTAGGCATCATCGCGAACTTGCCGCTCCTCGTTTCATCTCCGTTCAAAACTCTGCTGGTTTTCAAGCGGCCGGCCCCTTCGTCCTCTACAATCTTCTCCTCAAACTTGAGTATGCCGGTGAAGCTCCGGTCCTGGCCCAATGCCTTTGCCTTGACCTGGAAACCCCAGCCGATGAGCAAGAATTTGCCTCCACCTCGATGTATCACCATTCCAGCCCCTGTTCCGGGCTTGCCGAACACAAAGCACCGTTCTATGGTGATCTCAAACTCTCCCCAGGTACGACGGATGACAGGGCTTGGGTCCTTCCCGGTGCCATCCGCCGGCAATTCGTCGAAGCAGAAGCCCACTGACGTGTTCGGGTGTCGTTGTGCTTCAAGGACGATGGGCGAAACAGACTTCAGCAGACCATAGTGCTTGGTGAAGGGGCTGTCCTCTGGCTCGATAGTATCCACACCAAAGGGGGCAACCCCCATAGCACCGTAGGTTCCGTACGCAATCCAGATGCGGCGTGCTCCGTAGTCGTCTCGTCGTTGCTCCGGGATGAAGAGAGGTTGATTACGGTGCCTGTACTTGGCGCAAGAGCTGGCGTAGTCGTTGAGATAGACATCGGGCCCGACAAAGTCCAGCTTCGGCGCGAAGCGCATCCATACGTCCAAGACGTTGCTCACGGGTCCTCCAGAGGGATAGTCTCCCGGCATGCCGCCGCCGCCTACCACCACGGGAAATTCGTTGTCAGAGTCTTCGCCGACGTAGTTCATCCATACGTTGGTATAGAGAGGGATAGGATACGCCGCTTTTCCGGCCGCGGCAATTTGATTCAGATAGAGAGCGTAGTTGTATGCCATGAATAACTCATCGGTCCGGGGACTGCTTCCAAACACAGATTCCCAATCTCCGCTTCCGTCAAGGTGTGAAGTCTGACGATCAAACTGCGTGAGGTTTTGTTCTCGCAAATCTTGGTGTAGCTGATCCCACTCTGCAGATAGGAAGTGGACAAGGTCCTTTGGGACTGGTTCACGGAAGGCTTCATTTGCGAGCTCTGAACCGTCCCGAGAATCTCCCAAAACACCGCACTCGTTCTCGACTTGTACCATCAGAACAGTAGAGTGTGACTCGTCCACCTGTCTCAAGTGCTCCATTAGTCGGCCAAAGGCCTTGGCATCTGCTTTGCGGCTCTCGGCGCTGAAGATTGACAGAACGTCGCCGGTCTCGAGACGGCCTCCGGCCTTGCGAAGCTTGACGCGCGGAAACCTCTTGTCATCTGTTTTCACCCAAGCCGGTGTATAGGAAGACAGTCCTGTATTTCTGAGTCTTAGTTATCTTTCCCATCTGTCACCCGAGGGCAGGCGAGAAACAGGACTGCATACCATTCTTGAATGACCCAAACCATAGCAAAACCAGGTGCATGGAATGTTTCCGTGCGTCGCTAATGATTTCGTCGAGCACCGAAAAGTCGAATTTGTCTTCTTCAGGCTCAATCATCTCCCAGGACACACTGCCGAGTAAAGTGTTGATGTTGGTATTGGCCATTTTCTCCCATACAGTTTTCATGTATTCGGGGGACGATAGTGAAGAATTCTGAAGTTCCCCAGCTCTCATGAGAAAAGGCTTGCCCTTCACCACAAGTTGTTTCGATCCATCTGTTTGGACGAGATGTGGAATATTCACACTAACGTTAGCCATCTTCACGGCGGCTTGGGGAGTTGCATCGAGAAACGTCATCGTATCGGGGTCTCGGTTCGGTCTTCTTCGATGAGTACTTCGACTGTGATTAGAGACAAGAAATGTAGAAGAGAAATCAGACGAGAAAAGAGGAAATATAGTGAAAAAAAAAAAAAAAAAAAGTGTTACTGGTTGTTATTTTAGGATCAAGAGTGCTAGCAGAGCAACTCAAGAGAAGAAGGATGGATCTGCGGTGTTCAACACACGTCGGAATCTGTGAAAGATGATTGGCTTATATCCCGATCATTCGTTCTTAGCTCCCAAGGATCTGCGAAACACGCGAAGAATGAGGGGGTAACGCCGGCACGCCGGACAGCGAAGCGTCGATTGACGAGTAAAGAGTCCCGCCAGCATGCCTGTCTTGCTTCCCCTCAGTGGCGTCGACTCATGCACAGCAGCGTCCTCCACATGTTGGTTTGTGGGGTTTTCGGGTCAACACCCAGTGAAAGCTGTTCATTCCCGAGAAACTAAATAGAGGGCGTGTTCCTGTTTCCATCAATGACTTTAACTATGGAGAGTGTGAATGGGATTCATACGCTCGTACGTTCATCTGAATCCACAATCGGATGAAGCCCCCCAAAGCATGTCGACAGTGTCGAGAGAGCAAACGAAAATGCCTCCGCCGTAGTCTCGCGGTAGGTGAGCCATGCGATACTTGTCGAGCTAGAAGTTTACCGTGTGCAAGCTCTCTCTCACGCGTTCCTCCATCGCCGCTGCCGTTACTTCCAAGGCCTGAACCGACACCTTCGTTGTCAAATACCTCCACGCCTACTTCGACAAAGACCGAAGGCATAAGCTTGCCGCTTCACACGGCTGTACTTCTCGTCGACTATTATCTAGACAAGCTACACAATCGGCCGCACAGTTTGTTCCACCCCGCAAAACTTCGGCAGGAGGTTCAAGATGGGTCTATTAGCAGGATCCTCCTGTTGGCCATTTGCAGCATGGGTTCGAGGTTCGCTCTCGACGAGGAGACACGGGCCCTGGAGGCCGGATTGATGGAGGAATCCAAGCGGATGTTGCTGGCCAATTTGGAAAACGTCTGCGTCGAAAACATTCAGGCGTGTATCCTCATCGCGAATCTGTGCGCAGCTCACCTGAACCCTTCTTCAGAAGCTTTGTTCTTCCGTAAGTGATCGTTATTGGAATTGTACGAATGGATTTGAAGCATCTCGTTTTCTTCTGGGTCTATTTGCTCACCATGGACAGGGACCGGTATCAGTCTCTCTCACATCATGCAGCTTGGCACCTCGACTGTAGGGACACGGCTGGTTGATCTCGAGATTCACAGGAGAATATGGTGGTCACTCTTCATGGCAGATCGATGGTCGTCTTCAAGCCTCCGCTTGTTGCCACAGATTCGAGATACAGAGCTCGCCGTTGATCTGCCCATGGATGAAGCCATATTTCAGTCTCTAGACCCTACATCAACACAACTAGAGAAGCCATGGCAGCCAGGAATATGGGCTTTCAAGATCTCTCTGGTACAGCTATTTGGCCCAATACAGCAACTCAATCGTCATAGTGTCAACAGAAGCATGACTGCAGAGGATATTGAGAGCAGCATATACTCTTTGTCTCAGCAGCTAGAAACTTGGGAAAAGTCCCTGCCCAACAACATCAAATGGAAAGAGGAAATGCTAGACTGGCATATCAACAGAGGAACTGGAGGGCCATATGTCGCCCTTCATCTTGGGTATCATCACTATTCCGTCCTGCTCTACTTCAGGTTCCTCAGCTCTCAAGAGCCAAGATCCTCCGCGGCTAGCATGTATCATAGTAGATGCAAGTCCCACGCCTCGGCTTACAGCAATCTTGTCAAGCTCGCCCGTGGTAAGCAGGGATGTGAAGTCGTCTATCCTACTGTCGGGCACATGGCGGTAGTATCGTCATCGGTGCTCCTCCATACGCTCTTATTCGGCGAGGAAGCAGATCTAAAGAGCGCGCGAGATGCCTTGAATGCGAACTTTGCAGCCATTGTCGAATTGCGACAGTACTGGCCAAACACGGCGCCAATGGTTTGTTTCCGTCCACGTAGCTGACCTCTGTGGGCAAGAAGGCTGATTTAACGACAGATCGAACGCCTTGCTACTTTTCAAAACTTCTGCCTGCTGTCTGGTGACTCCAGAACGCATGATTTTGATGACTGGATGGTGCGCTTTCTGACAGAATACTCACTGCCTCTGGAGGAAAAGGACATTCAACATGTGAGATCAGGCATGGACTACGATATTGACAGCTTTTCGGCTCGAACTCAAGTACTTACACAACAAGGGAGGTATACTTCATTTCAGACTGATAACTCTGATGCTTATAGCTTACAACTTCATGAGTTCGACTACCTGATTTAGTTAACATTAGTAGCTTTGTAGTCTTGAAAATGAGACGTTCCCCGTCCTCAGGGAAATCCGTATGCACGAATGGGAAAGAGAGTCTAGATGATACAAAATAGCAGGAAAGAGAAACATTCTACGCCGAAACAAAGCTACGTTGGATGAGTCTCGTACGTACTTGGCTCACAGTGTGAAAAATATGGATGACATTCTGATCTAGTGGCGCCTTCGGGGGTCACGCAGGAAGCCACACTATGCTCTGCACGGTTTGGTAAGGCCTCCCTGTATGTAGCGGATAGAATTTCACAAGTCTCGGGGCAAAAGCCAATCATTTTTCTCATTCTCCGATCGATCGGGTCTATCGACTTCAGTGCCGGCTTCTCTCGAAAGAAGCGCCAATATCGTACCAGACCTAGTCCCTGATTAGCCCGGATGCCGTTACCCTCATCACAGAAGTTGGCGCCAAGCTCACACGCGCACTCATCCCGCATCCCCAGAAGGGTGACAGTCCCATTCTCCTGGACGTCGGGAAAACGGCCGAATGATTGGTTCAAAGGCCGCATGTTCGGTCGCAACGAGTGACAGACAGACGTGCCTGGTTGGTTTACCCCAGTCTCTGGTTCCCGAATCACCCCACGAACCTGGGGTCTCCTCCCAGGAATACGGTAGATGGTGATCATATCTAACTGCTTTTGGGCATGTCAGTATGTAGTCGCAGGCTCTTTTTGTTGTCAATATCTTTCTCATGTTGCCTCGCCTTTATTTAAAAGGCATAGGTAGAACTTATGAGTTTCCAGTTCCCTGAATCCCATCATCGTTCAACATAGCGACCCAGGACCATAGTGATCCGACGCCGAGAACTCGAGAAATCTGTCTTCAATTTCTATTGCCGTACCTCCAGGAGCACGATGACTTCAACCAAGGAACATCCGGATTATGTTGAGGAGCCGCCACACCTCGAAGTCCCACGGGTAACATGGTATAAGCACGCTGGGTTACGGAGCCTTTACATCAGAATGCCAATCTTGATGCTTTGTGCTACCATCAACGGATATGATGGGAGTCTCCTGAATGGCCTTCAGACAATTGAGAACTGGCGGGCTTGTACGTCCTACAATATCCGTCACTGCTTCGTTGAGAAGTTTACTGACTCTTAAATTCCCAGACTTCAATCATCCTTCCGGCTCTACTCTTGGCCTGTTCACTGCTATTGTCAACATTGGTGGCTTCAGTGCACTGTTCTTCTGTCAGTTGGGAATACAAGTTCAGTGAGATCTTCTCACATGCTAACGTATCCACTGGCGACAGCCCCTTACATTGCGGACTTCTATGGCCGTCGTATCGCGACTGCTATCGGCATCATCATCCTGGTCGTCGGCGTCATCATCCAATGTAGGCACTCAGGCCCCTATTACTTCTGCATGAATAGGATGGGATCTAATGTCGCTCAGCCGTTCCAAGCGTCAACGAGGGCATGTTTATCGGTGGTCGTTTCCTCGTAGGGTTCGGGTAAGCGGGCATTCATGCCCATAATTGCTGATCTGATCACTGATCACTAGCCGTGTTAGATCCAACATCTCCATCGGAGCCGGTCCGCTGCTGATCATGGAACTGGCTTATCCTCAGCATCGAGGTAGGCTCACTGTGATGTACAACAGCCTCTGGTATGTCGGAAGTATCGTCGCCGCCTGGACCGTCTACGGAACGATCAAGTACACGGGTCAAGTCTCGTGGCGGGTTCCTGTCGCTTTGCAATGCCTTATGCCGGTGCTCCAACTGATAGGCATATTCACGTTGCCTGAGAGTCCGCGTTGGCTATGCTCAAAGGACCGATCTAATGAGGCCTTTGAGATCTTGGTCAAGGTAAGAAGAGCGCAGATTCACTACAATTAGTGCATGCTGGAGACTGACGCTTAATGTCGCAGTATCACGCCAGTGGAAACCGCGATGATCCCTTCGTCCGGGCCGAGTTCGCCGAGATCCAAGAGACCATCAAGCTTGAGAAGCTGGCGGCGGAGACGGGTTGGATGGTGTTTTTCCAGACACCGGGAAACCGCAAGAGGTTGTTGCTCATTGTGCTCACATCGTTCTTCTCTCAATGTTCAGGTATGAGCACACTCCTTGGAGAACCTGGACTTGGCTGACACAGGACTATGATAGGAAACGGCCTGGTCTCGTACTATCTTCATGACATTCTAAGTTCCGTTGGCATCGACGAGCCCAACTCTCAATCTCTGTTTAATGGCGGTCTCCAAATCTGGTCGTTCCTTGTTGCAATCTGTTTTTCGGTCTATTTCATCGAAAAACTCGGCCGAAGGATTCTCTTCCTTATCGCGGCCGTCGGGATGCTCGTTGTTTTCAGTGTCTGGACTGGGTAAGGGCTCCGCAATGTCCCGGCTTTTACTTAACCTATGCTGACCTTCTCAGATGCTCTGCAGTGTATGCCCAAACAGGAAACAAAGACGCCGGGTCCGCGGTTCTGGCAATGATCTTCCTCTTCTATGGAGTTGCTGGTTTCGCATGGCCTGGCTTGACGGTTGCTTACTGCTCCGAGATTCTCCCCTTCAGCATACGAGCCAAGGGACTGGCAATCTGCCTGGGAGTAACAGCGCTCTCTGGTGTTTTGAACCAATATGTCAACCCCATCGGACTCTCGTCGCTGGCTTG